TTCGATTTATGATATGATTACTATGAAGGATGGCCGATTTGCGTTAACTTTATTTAATTAATTTTCATTTTTACTTACTTCATTCGTATTAATCCGATTGTTCATTATCTTTATTTTTTTTTATTTTTCAACTTCATACAAAATTCACTCAACAACTTAATGTTTGTTAAACATATTTGTTATGTTGTCTTTTAAAATATTGTTCTGTTTAGATGATTGGAATAATATTGGAACTAAATAATGCACTTTCCAGACATAAATACTAATTAAAAATTAATGCATTGTATTTAATGCCCTAAACCTTCGGGAAAGCCTATAATCGTTCTTATGCATTCTCTACTTTAATTGAAAATACTTCGATTAACTTTTTATTAATGTAAAAACTTAATTTTTTGATTCATTACGAATAATAAATTGCATATTCACATTATTAACAATTTTAAAAAATAAAATGGAGCACATTGTTTCGACTATATTATTACTTCAAATTCTATGTACGTTAAACGTACTTTAAATTAATGTAAACTACTATTGACCACTATAATTTTTCGTTAATCTTATTATTTCATGAGGCTAAATTAAACTTTACAATCTAATTTTTATTTAATTATTTTATATTTTCATGTTATTTCAGAAGCTGACCTAACAGATGAAGAATTGAAAAATCGTTGTTTGCAAAAGCTTGAAACTATTTTGAAAGGTTGTGGAAGAAGTTTTGTGGATTTTCCAACAATGCCAAGGCCTGTTTATAATACGGAAGAAGTTGATAACAATAATAGATTAATACTGTGACGACCCGACCCGTCGTCTCATGTGTTATTGCTCCGTTTCCCCCATTTCATGCTTCTTCATGTTTCGTTATCGGTATGTGGTGTGTTAGAGTTGATTTGGATTGGTTTTGATAAGAAATGAGACACTTAGTCTCTTTAAGGAAAGCTTAAGTTGGAAAAGTCAACCTAATGTTGACTATTGAGTTAGAGGGCTCGGATGTGATTTCTGGTGATTCGGTTAGCTTCGGGGGATGATTTGTGACTTAGGAGTGCGATCAGATTTGATTTTGGAGGTCCGGTGTAGAATTAGGCTTGAATTGGCGAAGTTAGTATTTTGGTGAATTCCGGTTGATAGGTGAGATTTTGATCCGAGGGTCGGAATGGAATTCCGAGAGTTGCTGTAGCTTCGATATGTGATTTGTGATGTGTGTGCAAAATTTCAGGTCATTCGGAGGTGTTTCGATCGGGTTTTTGATTAAATGCGTGTTTCGGAAGTTTTTGAAGAACTTAGGCTTGAATCCGATGTGATTTAGTGGTTTTGGCGTTGTTTGATGTGTTTTGATGATTGGAACAAGTTTGAATGAGGTTTTAGGATGTATTGGTGCTTTTGGTTGAGGTCCCGGGGGCCTCGGGGTGAGTTCGGATGGTTAAACGGGGAGTTTTTGGACATGTTTCATATTGCTGGTATCTGGTGTTTTCGCACCTGCGGCTATTGGACCGCAGGTGCGGTCTCGCAGAAGCGAGCTAGGCCTCGCAGAAGCGGAATTATGGGACCTTGTCTGAGTCCGCAGGAGCGGAAGATTTGACCGCATAGGCGGTCCCGCTGAAGCGAATTAGGGACCACAGAAGCGGTGGGTGCCTTAAGTGAAAAGTCCGCAGAAGCGGACGTGGACCGCATATGCGGAAGTCGCAGAAGCGGTAATATATCCGCAGAAGCGGAATGGCTGGCAGTTAAGTGAGTTTATCTTCTTCGCGAATTTTTTTTGAAAGAACAACATTTTGGACTCCGAACCTTGAGAACTTTGAGGCGATTTTGAAGAGGGTTTCGAGGGCTTTAATCAGGTATGGATTCTTGGACTTAGAATACGATTTTATGGTGTAAAAACATGGATTTAGACTGAATAATCAAGGAATCAAAGGTCAAAAATGGTGGTTTAGGGCTTGAACTTATGAGAGTTTAAAATAGGGATTTGAGGGGCCAATTGGACTCCGATTTTGGTAAATTTGATATGTACGGACTCGTGGCAAGACGAGGAATCCGGTGATGTGAATTTCGTAATTTTTTGAGACGTGGGCCCGGGGCTCGGGTTTTTGCCAACTTCGTAATTTTTGATATTTTTCGAGTCTTTTCTATTGGGTTATGATTCATTAGCCTATTGTGACGTATTCCTTGTGGTTTTGGTTAGATTCGACGCGCGTGGAGGTCGGTTTGAGGGGCAAAGGCGTCGCGAGCTAGAGATTTCACCGGTTCGAGGTGAGTAATGATTTTGAATGACGTCCTGAGGGTTTGAAACCCCGGATTTGCACAACTTGGTGCTATGTTGAGATGAGACACGCATTCCATGACGAGCGCGGGGTCATTTACTATTGGGGACTGTGATTTGGTCCAGTCCGGATGATATTTTACCGCGTATTAGCAATGACTTGTTGTTTTCACTATGATTTGGGCTTATTGCCATATTTGGGGCTTATTGCCGACTGTTTGAACTCTTTATGAACTATCATCACTGTTTTCCTCACTGTCTGAAATATTATTTGAACTCAGTCCATTTGAATTACACTGTTTCATGAACTCAGCTATATTTTTACTCAACCTTGAGTTTTAACTGATGTTTGAACTATTGTTTGAGCTGAGCATTATTGTCTTTACTGATGCCTGAGGGGCTTATGATTATTTTTGGACTGATTGAGGCCGAGGGCCATATGTGAGGATATGTCGAGTGATGTGAGGAGGCTTTCAGGCCTCGAGTGATATGTGAGGAGGCTTTCAGGCCTCGAGTGTATTGTGAGAAGGCTTTCAGGCCTCATGTTGATATGTACAGGCTTTCAGGCCTTATGATGATATAGCGCTTGGGCTGTAGGAGCCCCTCCGGAGTCTGCACACCCACAGTGAGCGCGGTACCCATTTAGAATTGGACAGTGGTAACAATGACACTGTCACACGTGTTTTGGTCAAGTAACAATGACTGACCAGTCAGGTAACAATGGCTGACTAATGGTAACAATGGCACTGAAACACGCGTTGGGTCAGGTAACAATGGCTGACCGGTCAGGTAACAATGACTGACCATACTTGAGCATACTTGTTTTATTAATTGTTTTCAAAGAGAATTTCTTGCTATGTTTCACTGGTCCCTGCCGTTTACTTGATTTTATTGTTTGAGATAGCATTATCTGTGCCTGTGTGGGATTTTATATTCTCAGCCGTTATCCATTTTTGTTGCTCACTGGGTTGGAGTACTCACTTTACTCCCTGCACCTCGCGTGCAGATGCAGGTATTGTTCACCCGGTAGTGGGTTTTGAGCTGGTTGAAGGTATTGCTATCGTAGCTGAGTAGAGTGACCGCCAGCGTTCACGGCACCGGATTACTTCCTTTGGTTCTAAATTTTATTCCGTATATTGTTGGCCCTGTAGTTGTATTTAGACTTCTCTAGATGCTCGTGACTTGTGACACCCCGGTCGGGTTGTGTTGGGTTGTAAATACTGGTTAGTATTGTCGTTAAGCTGTATTTATCTATTCATTTATGTTTAATAATTGTTAAAGAGACGATTTAGGCTAGTTAGCTGGCCTTGTCTTCACGAGAGGCGCCATCACGACCGGGTTGGAAATTGGGTCGTGACAAGTTGGTATCAGAGCCTAGGTTACTAGGTCTCACGAGTCATGAGCAGGTTAGTAGAGACTCGCAGATCGGTACAGAGACGTCTGTATTTATCCTCGAGAGGCTGCAGAACCTTTAGGAAAACTTCACATTCTTGAATTCTTATCGTGCATCCTTTATTCAGCTTGAAAAGAAACTCTTGAAAATTCCTTCCACACGTCTGTATGCGCATACGAGCGCTCAGTATTATATGTGCCTCGATGGTTTGTGATTCCCCGACCAAGGGGCGAGATGTGATCTTCGTGAGTATGTTGGGCCAGTCTGGAGGACTTGAGGCCGGATCTTTGCCTATTGCTTGAGCACCGAGGTGCTGATTGTGCGAGCAAGTGTTTTGAACTTTTATGTTCGGTATTGTCCCTATTAGCCGGAATGGCGGGTGGATATCCATGTGATGAGTATGTTAGTACTGCGAGATGTGTCTATATGACTTGGTAGTGACGAAGAAGTCTGCTGGTTAATAGATGAGCTGTTAAGCGTTCGTTTCCTATTGTGATTTGATGTGTGGCCCGAGTATGGGCGTGTGAAGAATATTATCGTGTCTCCTAGTTGGGGAGTGTAGTGCATTTCATGTGGTGGTATGAGTTCATACCCAGGAAAGACTAAATGATTGTGTAATGGATATGACGGTGGAAGGTATGCTGAAATACTAAATTGAGGCGAAGCAGGTGGGTTATCTCCTGCGGAGTATTCTTAAGTGGTATGATCCTTATGTGTATGTTAGAAGATCTCATGTGTAATTGAAGGGTGCGTGTTGAAATTCAAAAAAAAAAAATCGGGCCGCTTAAGAGAGTGGACTCAACTGATGTGGGGATGAATACGAGGTTGCAGAGGATTACAGTACTAGACGATCTGTGTTTTCACAACCAGTAGATGATTTGAGTTTAATCTCACTATGATATTGCGGCATCATTAGAGTAAAAGTGTTATGAGTTGTTGAGTGTGTCCTAATATATGGCTTCGAGCCAAGTTGGGGAGGTTGCTATTGATTAGCAGATTGCACGGGCATGTGCTATGTTGGCTTCAGTTGGAGCGTGCGGGCGAGCCAGCTATGGCTAGAGTAAAAGAAAAAAAAATTTGATAAAGGTTATATTATATTCCATAGGATATGAGAATCACAGAATGTCTAGAGTTGTTGTTGGTAAAGAATGCTCGGTGCATAGAGCAGGAAGTTGCTTGGTTGTATTGGGATGAGGATCTCATTTTTGCGGTATCGGAGTGCCAATAAGGTACGAGTGGTTCTGTTCGTTAAGTCAGGTAATTTGCAGTTTGAATAAGAGTGAATGACTCTCGAGAATGGTTTTATCGTGTTCAAGATTCTACATGTAACAATCAGGTGTCTCAAGGTTGTGCATGTGGTCAAAGACCGTGTTTTCGTCAGAAAATGTCGAGACTGGTGGTATTTTTATGATGATTATGGGGTTCTATGTATCGGTATCTGGAAGGTAATGGTAATGAATTCAGATTCGCAGGGAGTTCTTCAAGTAAAATATTCTGGAGTGTGGTATTTCTGGGGACAGCAGAGAGAGTATTCGGTGGCCTATGGGTCTTAGACAGTGTGGTCTTATGTTCGAGTCTCGTGTGGTAAGCGTGGATTGAGGCATTGTGATGCTACAGCAAGGGAGAAATATCAAGTTGATGATGAATCAGAAGGGAAATTAGATAGATGGAGTAGCTTGATAGTAGACCGAATCGGTATGGTAAGGATATGATTAATTCCTCGTATGTGTTCCAGGTAATGAGCCTTTACAAGCATTGTGCAGCAAAGTTCTTGAGTTCTGACAACTTGCTTAGCTTGGTTTGGATAGAAGGATTCAGTCCTGGCAGTTTAGCTTGTGCGAATGGAATTGGCAGAGATGTTCTTGTCGGGTTTCACCGTGGTTTGGAGATGAATGTATTTTCTATGGGTATGCGAAGCATGGAATGTGTAATGATTCTTCTTCCTAATGGGATCAACGGAAGTTCTTGATTAGATGAGTTACAGTTCAGTTCTAAAAAGGAGTTCATAAAATTCTTAGGCAATGGGTAGCCTCAGGTAATCAAGGAAATGGTGCTGCTAAATGGAAGTGATTTGACGAGAGTATATGTCTCGAAAAAAGGGCAATGTGATTAGACTGATGATACTACGGTAGTAATGCGGTGCTTTCTTGTTAGATCGGCTGTTGATATTTGAGTTTTGTGATGGCACAGGGGAATCTTAGAATATCTTTCGTGGAATGATTAGGTACTCGAGGTGTAATATGTATTCATACTGCGGAATTTGGGAATCAGGTACAGAGATTCTCGAGCTATATGGAGTTGGAGAGTGGGAGTTCTCATGTTCAGGCTATGTAGTGGTTGTGGACCGTCTGTATTGGTACCGTTAGCGGCTATTGGGATTTGGAGGCCCGAGTGGATCTTTCTTTGCTTGGTATATTAGATTCTGGGTATGATATTGGGGTATAGACTGGTTGTCTCAGTGTTGGGTTATTCTAGACTATTGTGCTATGGGTTATGTCGGAAAATGCCACGGGTTCCATGGCGAGGTGCATCGGGTTATGTTCTAGCAGAGTGGTTTGTATTCCGAAGACCAGCGGACGGTTGGGAAGGATTGCTTTTCTTAATTGGGCCTTCGTGGTGGATGTCAGTGCAGAGGTTTCTACCATTGATTCAGTTCCGGTATTGAGGGACTTTTCGGATGCGTTTCTTGTGGCCGGGCATGTCGCCGGGCGAGGTTGTGGATTTCGATATTGATTTGGTGCCGGCCACCGTATCGTACGGCTCCGGCAGGAGTTATTGTAGTGGAAGGAGCAGCTTCAGGCTTCCTTGGTAATGAGTTCGTTGGCAGGCCGATGTGGCTACGTATTCAGCTTGAGTTGCTATTTTATGTTGTGAGACATTAGGATTTGTTGATTATGGGCACCTGTGGTGCGGTTCTATTGGGGATTCATAGTGAAAGTCGAGCGGGAAGAGTAATTGGATGTTGCTCGGTAAATGGAGTGTTGGTTATGACCTATCGGGTTGCGTGTCGTATGTTATTTGTTTCACCGTGGGTGTAATGAATT